AAGCCTGTATAGCATACTCGGTGTGTGGTTTATTGTATGCTGATACCAAACGGGGCAATAGGTTGGCTTCGAATGATCCAAAACACGTTTTAGCAATCCAAATTGCTTTATCGTCTTTGATGACGCTCTCGCGCAATGTGTGGAACATGCTAAATCCTCACGAACGACACCTCCCAGGTCCTATTCGTATGGAGAATTCTTTGCTTCTCTTTTTAATTTTACTTCCTTTCATTGAGTACACAATAAAACAATTTTCAGCAAGGGGGAATCGGCCAATCAAAGGGTTGTCATGGGGAAAGTCAGGCGGTGGTGTTGGGGTTCAAACACACGTCCACCGAGGTGATAATTTGGTGACTTTACCACCGAGCCACCACCGCGGTATTGGCTGAGTTCCAAGTAAGTATGCAAAGCGACCACTGTGGCGTAGCGATACAACTTTGCATTTCTCAACGTTGGATTCGATGTCATTATTGATGGACCATCGTTAGGCTGCGTCGAGAGTTTCCTGCAAGGTTTCATAATCTTCAGGATACTTTACCGTCCTCCATGTTTTGGCGTCGTCAGCTAATAATGATGTCTTTTCTCCAAAGACACCTGGTAGTTCGTTTATGAATGCTAGGAAAAGGTAGGGACTTAGTACGGATCCTTTTGGAATTCTAAGGACAGCGTCAATCGGTCCCGATAGAACCATTAACTCGAACCGATACGGTACGTTGTCGAAGAAATTCCTCAGTACAGTCAAGAAACAGTCATCTTACACAGCAGTTATGGAGCTTTTGCGGCAGTATGTGGTGGTTAACCCTGTCAAAAGCTTTGAAGAGGTCTAAGTAGACTACGCCTATTGCTTCTTCTTCGTCGACTGATCTTGTGCATTCATCTCGTGCGAATAGCATGTTTGTGATGCACGAGCGTTTCCTTCGAAACCCGTGTTGGGCCGGCGAAAGGATGCTATGCTTTTCGAAATGCTCTATAGGAGAATCAGCAACAATCGATTCCATCATTTTAACAAAACAGGAGGAAATGTAACTGGACAGTAGTTCGCAGGGTTATTTCTGCAGCCACCTTTGTAAATAGGTGAAATGATGCCGTCTTTCCAGGATTGAGGGATCCTTACCTCGTAGAACATTCTCGGGTATAAATGGGCATATATTTCAGATATATGATTTACCAAGGACGTCAAGGTCTGTGGGCGGACGTCGCCTTCTCCTGAAAATGAATTCCTGCGCAACGCCAGTAGTTTGCTCTTTACCGTTCCTGATTTGAAGTTGATGGTGAGACACTTGATAGAAGGTATGAAAGCTGTAATCCGTCTTTGTCACCTGCGGTGAACACTTCCTAAAACTGGACTTTTACGAATTCGGCTGCTTCAGAAGTAGTGGTAGAAATGAATCCTGTATGCCTTAGTGCCGGTTTTCCGTATTTCACTTTTCTGGGGGCATCGATATTCTTATATAACAGCTTTGGATTGGAAATAAATTTGTGCCAGGGTTTCTTAAAACCTCAGTTTATCCTCTCGCACCAATTTTACTCAAAGCTTTCTCAACATGATAGAATTATCCCAAGTGTTGGCGGTTGGGCATCTTTTTAATTCTCGCTAGGAGACATCCCTCTGTGACATTCAATTCTTGGTTCGACCACGGATAGGTGATAATCGTGTAGGCGACGTACCGACAGACTTGGTTCTTGTGGCGACCGTTATGAGGTCTGGCAGTGTCAACAAATCGTTTCCAGGATTTCTGTGAATCTAACTGCTCTTCTGGCTGTGCCCGTTGCTTGGAAGTAATTCTCTGTAGTCAATAATGGTGTGTGTTTTGATTTTCAGGCATATTTATATTGATGCGTAGTAAATGTGATCGGAAAGCGGAACTGCATGGTCGCTTCGTCCTAATGGAGACGTTATTTTGACCGATTCGACCATAAGCTCCTCGTTTGTTAATACTAAGTCCACTGTGGATGGTTGGTGGCCTGTTTCAAATCTGGTGAAATCCTTTACATGATTAAACATCGGATATGAGTCTATAGAGTGTGATAAATTTCGCTCGAAAGGATGGTGTCAGTTCTGGCATTTTATGAAGTTGGGGTATTTGAAGTCTCCCATTATGGGAACATGAGTGAACTTTACTGAGAGAATATTTCTCATAGTCTGCAAGAGTGCCTCGTTAGCTGAGTCTGAGGATGCAGGAGAACGGTAGACTACACCGATCAAACAATTGCTATCTTTGGACAGCCTCAATGTGCACCAAAGTGTGTCAGTGCTGCATCGAAGAGATCGAGTGGTTCACATTGATGATTACTGCGGAGATATAGCAGCACACCGCCACCTCGTGTATTACAATCACGTCTCAGCAGCGACAGGTGCACTTCAGAGTCGAGAATATCGACAGTCAACTGAGTTTCGGTAATGGCAGCAAGAGCCCACTGACCAGCTTTTGCAGGCATATTTGCACCTCGGGGAATTTGCTAAGGAGGTGCGTTTGTTTAAAAACAAGCTAGGGAGCGTCTGTTTAGGAATCCGCTGGGTTTCCACTCGTTATTTATGCCGGCCATTCTCCGGTCGGTTATCAGTAGTTTTTTGGGGGAATCGGTTCTGCTGCTGAGTGCTTGCGAAGAAGAAGAAGAGGCGGACAGCGTTTTGCCTCACTGTTCAACAGCTTTCTGAGGCGTAATTCTGGTGATATTCTTCTTCTGTTTTGATGCCATGCCTGCAATATCGATGTGACTATTTCCGGGGTACTGAGGGTTATTTTTTATAATCCTCGGGCCGTTTCCGCCGTAGATTGCTGAGCATAGAANTAGAAGTCGGCTGACTGAGGTGGTAAAACTGTTGTGGCATCCAATCAATTCTGGAATGAACTTCCACTCTTTCCACTCGTTTTGGTTGCATTTAGGTTTGTCTGGATCGTCTAATGGAATAATTTTTATTTAATTTTGAAACCTGTTTACTTCCGCCTTACGGGCAGTTTTGTTTATGAACAGCACAAGTGGTCAGTCTCTAGCACTCGGGTTCAATCCTAGGATTGACTGGCGGGCTGTACAGATTTACCCCATATTCTTCACACTAGGCACTTAGAATGAAATACCTA